GAGCAAGTTATTTTTTACATTATTGAGTCTCCTGCTTTCCCTGTGGTATTAGGTATCCCTTGGCTAGCACTCCACAACCCCACCTTCTCATGGCCGCAGAGGGTTCTCACGGGGTGGTCGCGAGAGTGTAAGGGTAGGTGTCTAGGTGTTTCCGTTGGTGCAACCACGGTGGAAAGTCCAGACGGTACCTCCACCGTGCGCATTCCCCCTGAATACCTCGATCTGGCGCATGCGTTCTCTAAAACGCAGGCGACTAAATTACCACCTCATCAGGGGATTGCGCGATAAAACTCTGGGTAGACGCTGTACCTCCCAGGAGTCATATATACCCCCTGTCACAGGCTGAAACGGTGGCTATGGAAACATATGTCACTGAGTCCCTGCGCCAGGAGTATATACGTCCCTCCACTTCACCCGCCTCCTCAAGTTTCTTCTTTGTGAAGAAGGACGGAGGTCTGCGCCCATGCATTGATTATCGACCGCTGAACAGGGAGACGATAAGATTTAGTTATCCTCTCCCCCATTCCTTCAGTGATTGAATCAATGCATGGGGCGCACTTCTTCACCAAATTAGATCTCAGGAGTGCGTACAACCTGGTGCGTATCCGAGAGGGAGATGAGTGGAAGACAGCATTCAGCACAACCACGGGGCATTATGAATACCTGGTGATGCCCTATGGTTTGATGAATGCTCCCTCAGTTTTCCAGTCCTTTGTGAACGAGGTGTTTCGGGACATGCTTGGTCGCGGTGTAGTGGTCTACATCGATGACATCCTGGTGTATTCCGCTACGCACGCCGAGCATGTGTCTCTGGTTCGCAAGGTGCTGGCCCGACTGTTGGAAAATGACCTTTATGCTAAGGCAGAGAAGTGTATGTTTTTCCAGCAGTCCGTCTCCTTCCATGGATACCGCATTTCCACCTCAGCTGTGGAGATGGAGGGAGATCGCATTTCAGCCGTGCATAATTGGCCGACTCCAACCACGGTTAAGGAGGTGCAGCGCTTCCTTGGCTTTTCCAACTACTATCGGAGGTTTATCCGGGGCTTTGGCAAGGTCGCAGCTCCCATTACCTCCCTGTTGAAGGGTGGACCGTCCCGGCTCCGCTGGTCTGCTGAGGCTGAGCTGGCCTTCAGCAAACTGCGGGTCTGTTCACCTCAGCCCCAGTACTGGCCCACCCCGATTCATCACTACCGTTCGTAGTGGAGGTGGATGCGTCCGAGGTTGGGATAGGAGCTGTCCTGTCTCAACGCTCGGGTACGCCACCCAAGCTTCGCCCCTGTGCGTTCTTCTTGAAGAAGCTCAGCCCGGCGGAGCAGAACTACGGCGTTGGTGATCGGGAGCTGTTGGCTGTTGTCCAAGCCTTGACCGTGTGGAGGCATTGGCTTGAGGGGGCAAAACACCCTTTCCTCGTCTGGACGGACCACCGTAACCTGGAGTACATCCGGGCAGCGAGGAGGCTGAATCCTCACCAGGCCAGGTGGGCCCTATTCTTCACCCGGTTTGATTTAACTCTATCATACATCCCAGGTACGAAGAACGTGAAGGCAGACGCGCTGTCCCGGCTGTATGCCCAGCGACAACACTCCCATACTGCCGGCCTCCTGCATTGTGGCGCCGGTAGTATGGGCAATGGACACGGATATAGAGCAGGCATTACGCACGGATCCCTCTCCACCTCAGTGTCCAGATGGCCTACAGTACGTGCCTGCTCTTATCCGTGATCGTCTGATCTACTGGGCACACACGTCACTCTCCTCTGGTCACCCAGGTATCGGCCATACAGTGCGCTGCCTGACCGGAAAATACTGGTGGCATACCTTGGCTAAGGACGTGAGGGTGTATGTCTCCTTCTGCTCTGTGTGCGCCCAGAGTAAGGCACCTAGGCACCTCCCAGCTGGTAAGTTACAACCTTTACCAGTTCCACAACGACCATGGTCTCACCTAAGTGTTGATTTTCTAACTGATCTTCCCCTCTCCCAAGGTAACACCACCATCCTGGTCATTGTGGCCCGCTTTTCTAAAGCCTGTCGCCTCCTTCCTCTGCCCGGTCTCCTCACGGCTCTGCAAACTGCGGAGGCCCTGTTTACACACGTCTTCCGGCACTACGGGGTACCAGAGGATATAGTGTCTGACCGAGGTCCCCAGTTTACGTCCAAGGTCTGGAAGGCATTCATGGAACGTCTGGGGGTCTCGGTCAGCCTGACCTCTGGGTTCCACCCCGAGAGTAATGGGCAGGTGGAACGGGTAAATCAATACGTGGGTAGGTTCCTGCGGTCCTACTGCCAGGACAGGCCGGGGGAGTGGTCGGTGTTCTTGCCATGGGTAGAATATGCCCAGAACTCTCTCCGGCACTCCTCCACTAACCTAACACCTTTCCAGTGTATTCTAGGTTACCAACCGGTTCTGGCACCGTGGCACCAGAGCCAGACCAAGGCTCCTGTGGTGGATGACTGGTTTCGGCGCGCGGAGGAGACATGGGATGCTGCCCACGTTCACCTCCAACGCACTGTGCGTTGTCAGAAGGCCAACGCTGACCGCCACCGCAGTGAGGCCCCCGTCTTTGTACTGGGGGATCGGGTCTGGCTCTCGACCCGGAATCTGCCTCTCCGCCTGCCCTGCCGGAAGCTGAGCCCGCGGTTTGTGGGGCCGTTCAAAGTCCTGAGGAGAGTCAACGAGGTCACTTATAGGTTATTACTCCCCCCTGATTACCGTATTAACCCCTCGTTTCATGTCTCTCTCCTCAGGCCGGTGGTAGCTGGTCCACTTCAGGATGCTGAGGTGCAGGAGGTCCCTCCACCTCCTCTGGACATCGAGGGGGCCCCGGCGTACTCTGTCCGTTCCATCCTGGATTTGAGGCGTTGGGTGGGGGGCCTTCAGTACCTCGTGGAGTGGGAGGGGTACGGTCCGGAGGAACGGTGCTGGGTCCCGGTGAGGGATATCCTCGATCCCTCCATGTTACGGGATTTCCACCGTCGCCATCCGGCTCGCCCTGCTCCGCGTCCTCCTGGCCGTCCCCGAGGCCGGGGTCGGCGCGCGGCTGGGGCCGCGCGCCAAGGGGGGGTACTGTCACGACTTCCGCCGAGGCTGCCTCCCCTCCTTGTTCGGACAGGTTTCGGCGTTCGGCGTCACCGGCTTACTAGCTACTGCCGATCCATTTATCATCACTCCATTTGTCTTGTCTTCAATCACACACACCTGGTCCTTATTCCCTCATTAGTAATGGTATAAGTGTTCCCTCTGCTTCCTTGTCTGTGTGGGTGATTGTTTGTTTGTGGAGGTTAGTGAAGCTCGGTGGAGCTCGTGTATTGTGTATCGACGGGAGTATTTTTCCCGTGTGCCTTGTATTTTCCAGTGCGCCTGTTTTGTGCCCTGGAGTGTGTTTGACGCATTTCTGCGTAAACATGTATTTTGCGGATTAAAGCCTGTTATTCTGTGATTTACCCTCCTGCGCCTGACTCCTTCATCACCACCTCATCACAGCCACCCTTTGCCTTGATGACAGCTTTGCACGACCTGGAATGCATTTCAATTAAAAGGTGTGCCTTCTTAAAAGTTAATTTGTGGAATTTCTTTCCTTCTTAATGTGTTTGAGCCAATCAGTTGTGTTGTGACAAGGTAGTGGCGGTATACAGAAGATACCCATTTTTGGTAAAAGACCAAGTCCATATTATGTCAAGAACAGCTCAAATAAGCAAAGAGAAACGACAGTCCATTATTATAAGACATGAAGGTCAGTCAATACGGAACATTTCAAGAACTTTGAAAGTTTCTTCAAGTGCAGTCGCAAAAACCATCAAGCGCTATGATGAAACTGGCTCTCATGAGGACCGCCACAGGAATGGAACACCCAGAGTTACCTCTGCTGCAAAGGATAAGTTCATTAGAATAACCAGCCTCAGAAATTGCAGCCCAAATAAATGCTTCACAGAGTTCAAGTCAAAGACACATCTCAACATCAACTGTTCAGAGGAGACTGTGTGAATCAGGTCTTCATGGTCGAATTGCTGCAAAGAAACCACTACTAAAGGACACCAATAAGAAGAAGAGACTTGCTTGGGCCAAGAAACACGATCAATGGACATTAGACCGGTGGAAATGTGTCCTTTGGTCTGGAGTCCAAATTGGAGATTTTTGTTTCCAACCGTCGTGTCTTTGTGAGACGCGGTGTTGGTGAAACGGATGATCTCCTAATGTGTATTTCCCACCATAAAGCATAGAGGTGGGGGTGCTTTGCTGGTGACACTGTCTGTGATTTATTTAGAATTCATGGCACACTTAACCAGCATGGCTACCACAGCATTTTGCAGCGATACGCCATCCCATCTGGTTTGGGCTTAGTGGGACTATTATTTGTTTTTCAACAGGACAATAACCCAACACACCTCCAGGTTGTGTAAGGGCTATTTTACCAAGAAGGAGAGTGATGGAGTGCTGCATCAGATGACCTGGCCTCCACAATCCCCCGACCTCAACCAAATTGAGATGGTTTGGGATGAGTTGGACCGCAGAGTGACGGAAATGCAGCCAACAAGTGCTCAGCACATGTGGGAACTCCTTCAAGACTGTTGGAAAAGCATTCCAGGTGAAGCTGGTTGAGAGAATGCCAATAGTGTGCAAAGCTGTCATCAAAGCAAAGGGTTGCTATTTGAAGAATCTCAAATATAAAATATGTTTTGATTTGTCTAACACTTTTTTGGTTACTACATGATTCCATATGTGTTATTTCATAGTTTTGATGTCTTCACTATTATTCTACAATGTAGAAAATAGTATAAAATAAAACAAATATCTTGAATGAGTAGGTGTTCTAAAACTTTTGACCGGTTGTGTACATCATTGCATATACCACCATATATACCTTTTAACAGCCATACAACAATATATATAATATAACTCAAACCCATATACAATAAAATATACCACCATACACCATAAAACCTTAGCCAACAATATATGCTGATGATATGCAGATGTAATGGTAATGAGTTGCATAGCGTACCGACAGTGAGGTCGTCCAGTTCTGGCAGCACAGGCAGAGTCCAGCCCATGGAGTTGAGGAGAGCAGTGATCTGACCCATGTTGACCAGGGGCTCCACATGAACCACCTGTTGTACATATACTTGCCCGGGTCATACAGGTTTACACACACATACATACTTTTATATACAGAGCTACAGTGTGTGAGCATGTGTGTCCTACCTGTCTCTGTGTGTCCACCTCCAGTATGTCCATCATGTTGATTAGGATGTTCTTGTTGGTCTTCTTGTATTTCCCCACTCTGAGAGAAACAGTCAGCCAGCCGGGCCGACCTGTACACATGTGAGTCTCCCCCCCCCCCCCCCCTCCTCCACTCACATACCTGCAACACACACACAGTATCATACTGCATGTAAGTATTATGGCCTCTGCCTAAATGTCTGGACCTTTATGGCACATAAGGCACTGCACTTCCTCTCGGGTCTCTGATTAAAGCCCTACTCCTGCTATTCCCTATAAATCACTACAGAACATTTGAAATGGAAGAAAGAATTTAGACTTTGTAAACGACAGAAGGAAATACAGTATCTGATACCATGCTCAAATGCTGAGCTCCCAGAATGCACACACACTGACACACACTCCGAGACCTACACAGTGAACGCTGCAGTTTGTTTTTCCTCTCCTTCATTCCCAAATCCCTAGTTCTTTCCAAAAGTCCCTTTAGGAAGAGAGGGATTACAGTCACTGCAGTCTCTCTCTCACACACACATATACACTCACACACACTGCTATCATCGGGTGTTATCAGGGATCTGTGTTTAAAGTTTAGACAGACGCACTCACACACACACATTGGGGTTAGCGAGGACATGTGTGAACGTCCAGATTATAGATAACATAACATGATAGATATAGACTTTAGAATGTCTGCTCTTCTGTAATAGCACTGCTCATATAAACTCATAAGCCTCTTCATGTAGAGTAGTAGGCCTGGTTAGGTAGGCTAGTCAGTGAAGAGGGGTGTATCCACTGGTTTTAATAGATTAGTTAACCTATTTTAATAGAGATGCAATTTGCATCATCGTTGCAATTTAGCCACATGCCCTAACCTGTCTCTGGATGTCCCGCACGCGCTGGTCGTGCTGTTTTGGCGCGGAACACATCTTGAAGATGAGCCACGCGCGCAGGTAATAATAGACATCAAATATGACTGATAGTGGCAGCAGAAATAGACAGACGAATATCCATCTCTGGTGAACGATCACGTAGTCTAAGCCTTTCATCTTGATCCACAACAGAAAGAGAACTACCAGTCCACCGAGATACAACAACGGATCCATCCACCCTGCTCTGCTGGTCTACTGGCCTGATGATGGTCTAGTTAAGACTGTTCCAGAGAATAAATCCCTTTTATGAACAATCGATTTTCTATTGCCTTTAGTTGGGAGCACGCGATGCAAGATTTCTAAGCTTCTGCTTTTTAAAATCCACATAGATCCTCTATGCCAACACATTCACTAAAGGCACACACCGCTACACAGACAGACAGGTGTGTAAATGTTGAAGTTAGAATCCTGCCACTCATGTCGTTCTCTCTGATAGGCGAGTCTGGCTGTGGGGTCGGCTAGCCCCGCCTATGTTGGAGCGCTTCGTCCAATCAGAGAGCAGAAATCCCGTCACACCATTCACCCTGCGCATACCTTCATTAACATGCAACAGTTAAGTAATACAGTGGATACAACTTTGTTAAAACCATTCAACTTCACTGATATCAAACTAGGCCTACAGTAGTTAAGCATTATTTCAATAACCTATTTATTATAACTTACATATAACTACAAGAGTAATTATAGATTTTATTTAGCGGTATTATATAACAATATCACTACCATAAACCAGGTAATAAAACTACACTGATTATTACATGACACCCTAACCAATGCTAAATCTAACGCATTTAACTACAGTGCTTTCAGAAAGTATTCACACCCCTTTACTTTTTCCACATTTTGTTGTGTTACAGCCTGAATTTAAAATGGATTACATTGAGATTTTTTGTCACTGCCCTAGACACAATACTCCATCATGTCAAAGTGGAATTATGTTTTTCAAATTTTTTATAAATTAATACAAAATGAAAAGCTGAAATGTCTTGAGTCAATAAGTATTCAACCCATTTGTTGTGGCAAGCCTAAATACATTCAGGAGTAAAAAGTTGCTTAAAAAGTCACATAAGTAGCATGGACTCATTCTGTGTGCAATAATAGTGTTTAACATGATTTTTGAATGACTACCTCATCTCTGTACCCCACACATACAATTATCTGTAAGGTCCCTCAGTCGAGCAGTGAATTTCAAACACAGATTCAACCACAAAGACCAGTGAGGTTTTCCAATGCCTCGCAAAAAAGAGCACCTATTGGTAGATGGGTAAAAAAAGCTGACATTAAATAGACCTTTGAGCATGGTGAAGTTATTAATTACACTTTGGATGGCGTATAAATACACCCAGTCACTACAAATATACAGGCATCCTTCCTGACTCAGTTGCCGGAGAGGAAGGAAACCACTCAGGGATTTCACCATGAGTCCAATGGTGACTTTAAAACAGTTACAGAGTTTAATGGCTGTAATAGGAGAAAACTGAGGATGGGTCATCAATATTGTAGTTACTCCACAATAGTAACCTAATTGATTGAAAAGAAGGAAGCCAGTGAATGTTCCTGAGTGGCCGAGTTACAGTTTTGACTTAAATATACTTGAAAATCTATGGCAATATTTAAAAATTGTTGTCTAGCAATGATCAACAACCAATTTGAAAGAGGTTGAAGAATCTTGAAAATAACAATGGGCAAATGTTGCACAATCCAGGTGTGGAAAGCTCTTAGAGACTTACCCAGAAAGAGTCACAGCTGTAATTGCTGCCAAAGGTGCTTCTACAAAGTATTGACTCAGGGGTGTGAATACTTACACTACCGTTAAAAAGTTTGGGGTCACTTAGAAATGTCCTTGTTTTCGAAAGAAAAGCAATTTTTTTTGTCCATTAAAATAACATCAAATTGAATAGAAATACAATGTAGACATTGTTAATGTTGTAAATGGCTATTGTAGCTGGAAACGGCTGATTTGTAATGGAAAATCTACATAGGCGTACAGAGGCCCATTATCAGCAACCATCAGTCCTGTGTTCCAATGGCACGTTGTGTTTGCTAATCCAAGTTTATCATTTGAAAAGGCTAATTGATCATTAGAAAACCCTTTTGCAATTCTGTTAGCACAGCTGAAAACTGTTGTGCTGATTAAAGAAGCAATAAAACTGGCCTTCTTGAGACTAGTTGAGTATCTGTTGAGACTGGTGTTCCATTAAAAATCAGCCGTTTCCAGCTACAATAGCCATTTACAACATTAACAATGTCTACACTGTATTTCTGATCAATTTGATGTTATATTAATGGACCAAAAAATTGCTTTTTTTTCAAAAACAAGGACATTTCTACGTGACCCCAAACTTTTGAACGGTAGTGTATGTAAATGTGATATTTCTCTATTTCATTTTCAATACATTTCTAAACATTTCTAAAAACATGTTTTCACTTAGTCATTATGGGGTATTGTGTGAAAACAATTCTATTGAATCCTGTAACACAATAAAATGTGGAATAAGTCAGGGGGTATGAATACTTTCTGAAAGCACTGTACTACCATATACCATAACCATACTTTGAGGTAGGTCTATATACATAGCTTTAGCGACATCTATGAACTGTCACTGTGATGGGAGGGAATTCTGACTGATTGGTTTCAGTTAAGGTGTTTTCACATCTTCAATGAAAATCAGTTTAATTCACTTTCAATTGTTGGGTCATATAAAAAAGAGTGAACATGAGAACGCACATAGACCCAGGCATGCAAACATGCACACACACACACATGAATGGACCGTTACTAGGCTGGTGAGTGGTACACACACATTAGGCAGAGGGTGGGGCGCCAGTAAGGATCCTTAATGGGCTCTGCTGTCAGCTTGTCTGTCTCTCCAGTCCGGAACACACACCACACACACTCTCTCTCTCTCTCTCTCTCTCTCTCTCTCTTGCTCTCTCTCTCTCTCTCTCTCTCTCTCTCACTCTCTCGCTCTCTCAACCACACACATACTCAGCCCTCCCGGACGATGCTCTCCTGCTTTCAGAGAAAATGTGTCTTTATCTAAGAAACTGAATTATATTTACAGTTTTTCATGTGAGCCTCTGGATATCATTGGAAAATATGTCTCTATTATTCTAAAAGAAATTGATGGAGATCATTTCATCTTTTGTCTTAATTTCATTATCCAGCCTGGAAGGAATAAAAGAAAACCAACATTTCACCCATTTTATTTGTCTTACTACCTGGAGGTAATGGGACTATGTTTTTAAACTTTAACTCTCCTTTAACTTCAGCTCCATTCATCATCTCATTGCTTCTTGAATCCAAAATAACCCACACGGAAGCACACTTGGAATTGGACCTGGTCTTATGGAACTGACCGGGACAGAGCACGCCTAACGGGGGTTAGGGTTATTTACCAGGGGGTTACTCCACTGGGAAGACTAATATTTGCCATCCCCGGTGGTCCCATGGAGAGGGAGATGCCTTCCCTACACCACAGAGACTAACACACACCGTCCCCGGGGGTCCCAGAGCGATGCCTTCCCTCCACCAAGCAGCCATCTTCCTCGGATTCTTCCTCATCGTGACAGGCGGCTCCACTGCCTTTCTCACCTCCCCTCAGGTGGGTACTATAAAGAAATACAATGTGAAATGTATTATTATTATTGTTATAATTAATGTTAATATTAATATGATGTTGTTATGATTGTAGAGTCGCCTGCAGGCCTTCTCTCTGTGCTGTGTGGTTCTGGGAGCCATCATGCTGATTCTGGGGCTGTTCTGGGCCATGAACAACAAGAACCATGTAGAGTACAGCCAGGGAGAATACCCCAACATTCCCCACTATCCTCACCAGGGAGAACACCCCAACTATCCCTACCCACACCCAGACCTCAACTACCTTGGCCGGTACGCCCATCCTGACCTGGGCCACGTCCTCTTCAGCCCCCCTGGTCCTGTTGGACACTTCCCAGAGTCACAATCAGCCCTGCTGCAGAGGTGTATAGCATCCTTCTTGAATTGGTATTGTTGAATTTAAAGGTCCAATGCAGCTGTTTTTATCTCAATATCAAATAATGTCTTGGTAACAATTAAGTACCTTACTGTAATTGTTTTCCATTAATATGGTAAAAAAGAAACAAAAATAGCTTCTTACCAAACATAAATCCCTCATGCAAGAATTTTGCTAGGACTGTCTGGGAGTGTTCTGAAACTCCATCCCACCAAAACAGGCAGACATTTCAGGCGGTATTTTCAAACAGTTCTTACACTGAAAGGGCATTATAATAATTTTCACAATTTCACAGTATTATTCCAGACTCATAGCGTGGACTTATACTCACCGGCCAGTTTATTAGGTACACAACCCATTCACTAAAATGGATCTCTTCTACAAACAGTGAGTCACCTGGCCATGGCTTGCTATATAAAGCAGGCAGATAGGCATCAAGGCAAAACGAGTGACCTAAGCGACTTTGAGTGTGGTATGATTGTCGGTGCCAGGCGTGCCGGATCCAGTATCTCAGAAAGGCCGCCCTCCTGGGCTTTTCCCGCATGACAGTGTCTAGGTCGAGGGTTTATCGAGAATGGTGCGACAAGCAAATAACATCCAGTCAGCGGCAGTCCTGTGGGCAAAAACAGCTCGTTGATGAGAGAGGTCGAGGAGAATGGCAAGAATCATGCAAGTTAACAGGCGGGCCACAAACAGACAAATAATGGCGCAGTACAACAGTGATGTGCAGAACGGCATCTCGGAATGCACAACTTGTCAACCCTTGTCACGGATGAGCTATTGCAGCAGTCGACCACACCGGGTTCCACTCCTATCAGCTAAAAACAAGAAGACGAGGCTCCAGTGGGCACATGATCACCAATACTGGACAATTGAGGAGTGGAAAAACATTGCCTGGAACATGACAGCGAGTTCAGTTTACACTCAACCCAAAGAGCATCTTTGGGATGAGATGGAACGGCTGCTCGCAGCATGAATGTACCGCCGTACAATCTGCAGCAACTGCGTGATACCATCGCGTCAGCATGGACCAACATCCCTGTAAACGTTTCCGACACCTTGTAGAATCCCCCGAATAATTCAGGCTGTTCTGGAGGCAAAGGGGGGTCCGACCCAGTACTAGTACCTAATAAACAGGCCGAGTGTATATATAAAACAGGAAAATCACGTTTTTGGCTGCACTGGGCCTTTAAAGTGCATAAAAGGTAAAGGTCACAACGCACTGTGCATGTACTGTAACTGTCCTTTATGTGGGTGTGTGTGTGTGTGTGTCTAGGACCGAGCACCAGCGGCGAGGTGTGTATGGGGCTGATGATGTGGACTACCCCCCGCTCAGCCCCCCCTCCCACTATCCTCCCTGGCTGGGCCCCCCACCTCCCTACGAGGTTGCCATCAAGAACACCTGTAGCTCCACCCACTTGCGCCGCGCCTACTCAGACGGACACCTGGCCTCGGAACCCCTGTTTGGCCAATCACGGGAGATTAGCTTCGAAGTGTGACATCCCTTCAGACAGGCCCACACACTGCCACCACCAACCAGACCGCAAGAGGAATACTGTGGCCACACCCTTCACTTAGGCTCCTCTAATCAGCTGTCAACCCAGAGGAAGCGACAGGAATAGGAGATGGACCTGAATCAACACGTTGAGCAGCATGTCTCTGTCTGTCTTCAACAACCTGTAGTTTAGCATGTTTTCACAAAATGCTTTTCAAATGAGACACACACATTTTCAAATTTTTCAAATACTTTACCTGCACTTGCTTACTTGCACTTGCCTGGTGCAAAGGAACCAACTGAATACAAACCACACTCAGGGCCTCTCCCTGCCTCCGCTAGCTCTGTACAGTATATGCATGTGTAACAGAAAAAAAACTGAAATACTGTTTAATTATGTAAAGTTCAACAAAATAGTTGGAATACTTGGATTGATTTAATGTAATCTAGTCCTATTGAAATCAACATGAAAAATCAAGATGTTATACATTCATGTGTGTATGAGGACATTTAGTAGTCAGTCACCTGATGATCTACCTGTCCTGCCACCAGGGTGTCCATCCCAAGACACCTCCAGGAGAGATTCGCCAGGAGGAGAATAGAATGGTTCTCAGAGACACCAACTTCCCACACTCTTAGAAAAATGTGTTCCAAAATGATTATTTGGCTATCCCCATAGGATAACCCTTTTTGGTTCCAGGTAGAACCCTTTTGGGTTCCATGTAGAACCCTCTGTGGAAAGGGTTCTACATCAAACCCAAAAGGGTTCTACCTGGAACCAAAAGGGTTCCACTTGGAACCAAAAATGATTATTCAAAGGGTTCTCCTAAAGGGACAGTTGAAGAACCCCTTTAGGTTCTAGATAGCACCTTTTTTTATAAGAGTGTACAGCCAGGTCCCCATCCCTGGTGCTGAATACCCCCACAATAACATCACTAATCAACAATAGGGAGCAACATCATCATCGACATCAATGGATAGCTAAAGAAAGAAAGAAACAGGCTTCACATACACATATGTTTCTCCTTGGCTGGCAAGTACTTCATCATGTTTTAATGATTAAATGATGGTACTTTATAAATACACATATTGTTATGAGTTTGGGAATTAGATTCCAGGTTAAGTTATATTTCAATCAACGCATGCTAGTATTAGAGAAACCCGACTGGCCAGTCAACCATCACAGTGTAATCCCTGAAGATTATAATACCCAGATGAACAGAGGTTTGTATGTTCACTGAAACATGCTGAACTAAAGTAATCTGCTTCAGAGATAATATCTTACATAGGCCAACACATTTTTAACTAGTCTATTGATCATTAATTACACCACACAATAGGAATGGCATCTCTCTCTCTCTCCCTCTCTGTCTGTCTGTCTGTCTGTCTCTTAATTCAATTCAAAAGGCTTTATTGGTATGGGAAACATACAGTGGGGAAAAAAGTATTTAGTCAGCCACCAATTGTGCAAGTTCTCCCACTTAAAAAGATGAGAGAGGCCTGTAATTTTCATCATAGGTACACGTCAACTATGACAGACAAAATGAGAAAAAGAAATCCAGAAAATCACATTGTAGGATTTTTACAGAATTTATTTGCAAATTATGGTGGAAAATAAGTATTTGGTCAATAACAAAAGTTTCTCAATACTTTGTTATATACCCTTTGTTGGCAATGACACAGGTCAAACGTTTTCTGTAAGTCTTCACAAGGTTTTCACACACTGTTGCTGGTATTTTGGCCCATTCCTCCATGCAGATCACCTCTAGAGGAGTGATGTTTTGGGGCTGTCGCTGGGCAACACGGACTTTCAACTCCCTCCCAAGATTGTCTATGGGGTTGAGATCTGGAGACTGGCTAGGCCACTCCAAGACCTTGAAATGCTTCTTACGAAGCCACTCCTTCGTTGCCCGGGCGGTGTGTTTGGGATCATTGTCATGCTGAAAGACCCAGCCACGTTTCATCTTCAATGCCCTTGCTGATGGAAGGAGGTTTTCACTCAAAATCTCACGATACATGGCCCCATTCATTCTTTCCTTTACACGGATCAGTCGTCCTGGTCCCTTTGCAGAAAAACAGCCCCAAAGCATGATGTTTCCACCCCCATGCTTCACAGTAGGTATGGTGTTCTTTGGATGCAACTCAGCATTCTTTGTCCTCCAAACACGACGAGTTGAGTTTTTACCAAAAAGTTCTATTTTGGTTTCATCTGACCATAGGACATTCTCCCAATCCTCTTCTGGATCATCCAAATGCACTCTAGCAAACTTCAGACGGGCCTGGACATGTACTAGCTTAAGCAGGGGGACACGTCTTGCACTGCAGGATTTGAGTCCCTGGCGGCGTAGTGTGTTACTGATGGTAGGCTTTGTTACTCTGGTCCCAGCTCTCTGCAGGTCATTCACTAGGTCCCCCCGTGTGGTTCTGGGATTTTTGCTCACCGTTCTTGTGATCATTTTGACCCCACGGGGTGAGATCTTGTGTGGAGCCCCAGATCGAGGGAGATTATCAGTGGTCTTGTATGTCTTCCATTTCCTAATAATTGCTCCCACAGTTGATTTCTTCGAACCAAGCTGCTTACCTATTGCAGATTCAGTCTTCCCAGCCTGGTGCAGGTCTACAATTTTGTTTCTGGTGTCCTTTGACAGCTCTTTGGTCTTGGCCATAGTGGAGTTTGGAGTGTGACTGTTTGAGGTTGTGGACAGGTGTCTTTTATACTGATAACAAGTTCAAACAGGTGCCATTAATACAGGTAACGAGTGGAGGACAGAGGAGCCTCTTAAAGAAGAAGTTACAGGTCTGTGAGAGCCAGAAATCTTGCTTGTTTGTAGGTGACCAAATACTTATTTTCCACCATAATTTGCAAATAAATTCATAAAAATCCTACAATGTGATTTTCTGGAGAAAAAAACTCTCAATTTGTCTGTCATAGTTGACGTGTAGCTATGATGAAAATTACAGGCCTCTCTCACCTTTTTAAGTGGGAGAACTTGCACAATTGGTGGCTGACTAAATACTTTTTTTCCCCACTGTATGTTTACATTGCCAAAGCAAGTGAAATAGATAATAAACAAAAGTGTCTCTCGCTCTGTCTTTCTCTCACACACAAACACACACATCCCACTGGGCACACCATGTCATTTCAACGTGGATAATTGGGTAATATTTGGTTGAGACATTGATCAATGAGATTACAACCTATATTCACCCACTCAAAAGTTAGTTGAATTTCCAAGTTAATAGGCTATTTATTGTATTTCAAAAGTGATATTGAATTGTGTTTGGTTATCAACGTAACCAACAATCTACATTTAAAGGAGATATATCGTCTGCTTGGATTGTTCCATCTGTGCCACTGACTTAGTCTGGCTTTAATTCCAGCTTGTCTACAAATTAAAAATGTATTGGATGTGTTGGATTCACTACTCCATCTCAACAAAAAATCTAAGTTAAAGAATAGGTCTAAATCAAATCAAACTTGAAATGCACTTAAATGCCTATTCTTTAACTTAGATTTTTGGTTGAGATGGAGACGTGAATCCAATATATCAATATTAACTTGTAGACAAACTGGAATTAAAGCCTATTAAGTCAGTGGCACAGATATAACTATCCAAGCAGAATACGCATCTCCTTCAAATGTTGATATTTGGTTCTGTTGAACCAAATTCAATATTACTAAAGATCATTACATTTTAAATCAACCAGAGCTTGAAACTATCGGCCTATTGTATTTTCTATTTTTGGTTGAATTCTGGGTTGAATTGAAACAATAGTCTTTAGAAAGTATTCACATCCCTTGACTTTTTCCACATTTTGTTGTGTTATATTCTGAATTTAAAATGGATTAAATTGAGATTGTGTGTCAATGGCCTACACACAATACCCAATAATGTTTTTTACAAATTAATTAAAAATGAAAAGTTGAAATGTCTTGAGTCAATATGTATTCAACCCCTTTGTTATGGTAAGCCTAAATAAGTTCAGGAGTAAAATGTTGCTTAATAAGTCGCAATAAGTTGCATGGATTCACTCTGTGTGCAATAATACCCCACGCGTACAATTATCTGTAAGGTCCCTCAATCGAGCAGTGAATTTCAAATACAGATTCTACCACAAAGACCAGGGAGGTTTTCCAATGCCTCGCAAAGAATGGCACCTATTGGTAGATGGGTATAAAAAAAGCAGACATTTAATAGCCCTTTGAGCATGGTGAAGTTATTAATTACACTTTGGATGGTGTATCAATACACCCAGTCACTACAAAGAAACAGGCGTCCTTCCTAACTGAGAGGAAGTAAACCGCTCAGGGATTTCACCATGAGGCCAAATGGTGACTTTAAAACAGTTACAGAGTTTAATGGCTATGATAGGAGAAAACTGAGGATGGATCAACAACATTGTACTGTAGTTACTCCACCATACTAACCTAAATGACAGAGTGAAAAGATGGAAGCTTGTACAGAATAAAATATTCCAAAAATGCATCCTGTTCACAAAGGCACTAAAGTAAAACTGCAAAAAAATGTGGCAAAGATAAAATGTATGTCCCGAATACAAAGTGTTATGTTTGAGGCAAATCCAACACAACACATCAGTGTTTACATATTCATATTTTCAAACATAGTGGTGGCTGCATCATGTTATGGGTATGCTTTTCATCTGCAAGGACTAGGGAGATTTTTAGGATTAAAATAAATGGAATAGAGCTAACCACAGGCAAAATCCTAGAGGAAAACCTGGTTCAGTCTGCTTTCCAATAGTCACTGGGAGACAAATTCACCTTTCAGCAGGACAATAACCTCAAACACAATGCCAAATATACACTGGAGTTGCTTACCAAAATTACATTGAATGTTCCTGACTGGCCTAGTTACAGTTTTGACTTAAATCGAATTGAGAATCTATGATAAGACAATGGATTTCTAGCAATGATCAACAACCAACTTGTCAGAGCTTGAATAATAACAAAATATATAATATGTGCAAATATTGTAC